ACAGCACGGACAAAACAGTTCAGAGCAAGCAGCAATGAGAGCTGTTGCTGGAAGGTCAATGATTGCTCAGAATTAAGCTCCCCTCCTCTCCAGATATAGTGATAGTTACCTATAACCCATTATAGTAAATGGGGATATGGAAGACTGGGAACTCACATTCTTCAGAACTTTTGGTTGCTGAAAGCTGAGAAGCAGAGCTGAGTTCGGGCCTCGTGTGAGTTCCCTTAAATGGAATTCTCCCCCTTTCACCAGGTCTGAATGTCACCCATACTGAGATACCACAGTGATGACAAGTTTGCTTGAAAATATACTGAAAATGCTTAGTGGGTGATTTTTCATTTCGGATATAGAAATAATTATTTTACTCCTTTTTCTAAATAAACAGCTAAGGTATCCCCCACAAACATATTCTGTAAGCTTAGGAATAAAGGAACTTTACTTTCAGTGTTCCAAATTTCATGTTTTGTGTGTTCCAATTACAGACATGCACATAAATTACCTGCCTAACACAGAATAGCTCTTAAGAAGCCAGAGACATTAAGTGTCTTAAGAAAACCAGGTAGACACACACTTTTTCCTTCTTGAAGACAGCAATTCTCTTTTTTTATGAAATAAATGTTCAAATGAAGAGCCACTACATACTTCAATAGCTGTGCAATCACAGGTCATTGCACAGGAATGAATTCAGTAGGTACTTTAATACGGTGAGTTTAAAACTAGCCAGTATGGACACATACACACAAAAAAAACCCTACAAAACCAAAAACAGATCGCTGGACTGGCAGGAATATAGTACTTTTAAATAGCTGGCCCTAGTTCCAATACGGATTCTTATCAAACAAATGGCCTGTTTAGTAATTCTGAACAAATTGAATATTGTCATCCAAAGGATGAAGGGATTTAAGTGAATTGAGAGGAACAGGAGAACACTCGTGGGTGTTAAAGGGAGACGGGTTGGGATGAGGATGAAGAAAAGCAAAGCCCTGGAAAGCACATTTTACTACTTATGGTGGTATAGATACAAAGAGTGGAAGCAAAGTATTTCCTTCAGGAAGGCATAACCTCCCCTTTTCTAGCCATAAGCTGTTTCCAGCGTCTGCCTCCTTCAGTGGCACCTTCTAGGACTCGGACAAAAGCAAAGTTAGTAGCAAGCTCCTGGCAATACTGCTGCCCCATGTGGTCTTCTGTTCTGTGAGTTTCACAGGGCTATACTGCCCAATTTTATCAAACCTATGAACAAGTAACCTAACATCCTCTGCAACACATTGGGGTTTTTTCTGTATAAAAGGACCAAACTCTGAACTGCACCACACTGTCATAAAACTGGGATTTAACCAACAACATTAAACACTGCTTTATTCATACCCGAAGTTCTCCATTTGCTGAAGTATTGGGGGAAAAGAAAAAAAAAAAAAGAAAAGAAAATAGATTACGTGTGTAATGAGGAAGATACTAGTTCCCTGTGCAGGGATACTGAGGTAGTCCTGCATCGCATCACTGGGCAAACACTACAGCTGGACTTCCAGGCTAGCAGGCTTCCATGAACAAGTCTCCGGCAGTGATCTCCCCAGCACTCAACTGCCTGCTAACAACCTCATCCCTAATTCAGAGCCGTGGGGACTGAAGGTCAGAGACATTAAAGCAGGTACTAACGATCTCATTGCTGGCCATGTCAGACAAAGGGTCATTCCCACAGGAGCAACCCCTCATGCTTCCACACCATCAGTTTTCTCAGCTAGTCAGAAGAAGGGAGAACTCCATGAATTCAGTGCTGCTAGTAAGAGCTTGCAAACTTGGCATCCAATTGCTATATACAAGCAATTCTGCCTACATATGTTTGGATGTGACATTGTGCAGGAGCTAGCAAACCCTGATGGACCCTTGGTAACTTGATAAACAACTGTCCAGCAGTCCTTAATTCCAGAAGGAGAGTGCTTTGGAACACAGAGCCTGCTCTGGATGGAGCGGATTTTGGCCAGCTGCATGTCTGCAAGACACAAAAGCTGTATGCGGATTTACCCCTATAAGCAGTTAAACTACTTAGACTCTTTAAATCAGCAATCTACAGCAGTCTTCCTACACTTACTCTGGTGTTACTGGATTGTGTAAGGTGAAAATCTTTAAGGCAAGGAAGCATTTTTTTCCACCATTCTGTGGGATTTTGATGGTGTTAAAATGTCAGAAAAAGAAATTAAAGCGTTCAAGCTCAAAAGCCTCCATCATCCCCTACTTATATTGGTTTTATACCCGCTCTAAGTCTACTTACTGCATTCATTAAGTCCAGCTCTGATTTACAATGAAAGTAAAATCAGGCCCTCTGCAGGCATCATCCCAACTCGGTGCACTGCTCTATTAAAATAAACAGTTGCTATAATCACATTTTCAAAAGTGCATTTTGTGTGATGGTGAAATCTTATGTAGCACTTTCTTTGTACATAACATTACTACATAAAAGTGCTGAAAGGAAGGATTCATTAGTTCATTTAGCAGGAACAACTACTTTGATTATGCTGACATACAAGATGATAAATGATTAAGTTCTGCAAGATTCTGCAGTTTCCTTATTATCTGATGTTTAATTAGGTGACACAATCTTACTTTTGTTTTATCTGATACATCTGAAAACTGTCCCTTTACTAAAAAGTACAGTTTGTACAACCATATCTCACTGCATTCAATTCACAAAGCTGTATACATTAGATGTAATGCAGGATTACAGTGATATGTGTATGTTTATATTCTTTGATATTTAACTCCCATGAACTCTGTTCACTTTAGGGGCACCTTAATGGAGCCTACAAGATGATCATCTTTGTAAAATAACCTAATGGCTAATTTCAGAGCAAAATAACATACTTTATAAAAGACCAGGATCACCTGTCTGAGTGGCTGTCCCACAGCCAAAAGTGTGCGCCCTCAGATTATGGTCTGTGAACTGATTGCAAACCTGATTTCCTCTCTGCATTTCATTCACCTTGTGGTTTCCAGAAAGCCTTTTTATGGGAGAGGTATTTCCCTCAAGCTCACAGGATGCACTTCCTTGGGACAAAAGAGACAACAGCAAACATTACATACTGTATGTCAAGATTTGCTGCAATGAGATATCCAGATGAAAATCTGTATTTACAAACACTGGATTCCAGAGCTGTTATACTGCACTTTCTCTGTATCATTCTTTGGTCGAGAATCTAAGGAATATAAAATGATCACAGACCTGTAAGTTATTTTTATGGGTAAATCTTTATAATACAAGGGAATATGACTGTGAAAGATTCATGAACCAAATGAAAGGTTTTCTAATTCTAATTTCTGTTTCTAACAGCTTTATATCAATTAATTACAGTGAAAAAGCCCAGATCAAGGTGCACAGAAACAGCCAATGACATTATTGGTTTCTAGTCACAAAGAGTAACTATCCATTTTGGGGGAAACACTTCTTCATTTCACTTAGTCAAACAATAGTAGTTCATTATGTCCTCAATATATTTTTTACCAGTGACCGAATCAAAAAAATCTAAGCTCTGTCTCCATTCTCTCTTCTACATCCTCTCCACCAAGTCAGTAAGAAGAAAGGAATACACAGTGAGGCGCAAACACGGCTCTTCAGCAGTAGCAGGACACTTAATCACTGTTGTATCATATCACTGGGAGTGACTTAGCATTAAAATGTTTTTTGAACTCAGACAATAGACACCTTAGAAATAGATGCATAGCTGGGTTATCACCAATTTACAAGCAATATGCTGTAATAAACAGCTGAATAAGCAGAGGTGTTTGTTTTATCCTTCAGCCTTATTTACGCATTTGAAAGACCTCTCAGGTAAAGAGAATGTGCAGATAATGCAAAACATTGCACACTCAGTTGGCTTTCAGCAAGTCCCAGCGCTGACTACTGTAATTGCAGAATTGAAAAATCACCAATTCAGCTCTAAGTCTGGAGCCATTCTTAAGCCGTAGAAAAGGAGTGATAGGAGTAGATCTGCAGGATGGAACATTGACTAAAAAAAGACAAGTATGTTGTAGATCAGAATCTGAAGAATGTCAGTAGCTAAGATCTTTTTACAGATATTCAGCTACTACACTCCTGCTGCCTGGTACCAAAAGTTACAGATTACTATAAAGCACAGAGGCCTGCATCCTTTGGTGGTTGTTTCAGAAACTGGTGACATATCTAGACTAGGTCTAGACAAGTACTTTGGTATGGTAGTTGTTAAGCAGTAGTGCAGAGATGAGACATTAGGCAAGGTACCAGTTCACTGAAACAACTGTTCTACAGGAAGAAGACCTTGCCAAAGGAAACAGTTACCTTTATTATAGCAGCAAAAGCTCTTCAACTTTCTGGTAAATCTGTCTCACTGACAGCTGCAGTTGTTAAAGACTTAAAGGGTCTAGTGGTACTCTGGTAGGTAGTGTAGTTTAAAATCCATACAAAATTAGAAAAGTATAACTTCAAGAGTTTATGAATTAAATATGAAGGCACTTCTTGGCAGTCAAGAGTGTATATGTATTTGCTGCCTGAGGACAGGAAGTTACTTATAAGTACAACTGAGAGAGCTTAACAGTGATTCTAATTTATTATGAATGGACCGAAGTAATTAAAAATATATGTTAGAGTTCTAAGAAACTGATGGTAAATGGATCTTCAAGGGTCTGGTTCTTTGTGAAGTAATTTTTCTCATGTGTATTTTTCACTGGTTTAGTCACCTAATTTAAGGCAGTCCCAATGCCAAGGAAGAGTGAACACTCTGAAAATAACGCAGCAGCTGTATCCATACTGGTCAAATATCTCCAGTAATTGCCTGTGACTGATCTAGTTTTCATTAATTTCACAATACTAAGGCTGGTATATTCTTTAAATAATTAGTTACCTGATGAGCAGGTGCAAAGAATAGTATCATTAAAAATCAATGCTTTAAAAAGGTTGTGGGTTTTAAAAACATTTTTAAAAAAGATAATTGCACAATAACTGTAACTGAAAGGATGTGAAATTTAACCATAGTCTTGATGTACTCAGCAATATAAAACCCATCTCTAAGAAGCTAAAACCTGCTGTAGTCAAACAGTAACACTGTTCAAGCGCCATCTGAAGACTGAGATTGCCGCTTTGAGTAGAAGAGTATTTGTTATCTACGTCCTAGAAACCCAGATTGTCTGTTTGCCACACGTGTACAGGATGCACAACAGGCTGTTTTGTAATAGGTGTAGACACAGAGCCGGGCCTGAACCACCACATTGCAATTGTAGTATTTATCTTTGCAGTTCTCATCTGTGGAGAAAAAGGAAGAGATAAGAAACTAAAAAAAGCAATATTAGAGCAACAAATAGCCACCCCCCTACTTTTTGCCATGTGAAATCCCTTGCACCTATATTTAAACATTCATTGTCAGGTTAAGATAGGCTACCAATGCAAATTAGTTAGATTATTCAAGATTTTCTACGTTTAATACAAAGATACATAAAACTGTGGAAAATATGTACCTATCCCAATTTTTCCTGTTGTAGGGGTTTAGGGGAGTGTGTGTGTGGCTGGTTTTTGGTATACCTTTTTTTTAATATAGTTATCTTAACTTATTAACTTAAATAACTCTCAACTGAAGATTATTATAGAATGTGTTTCTAAACACTTGCATCTTCCTTTCCCTAGTCATCCTTGTTACTATTAAAATCAAATCTGTATCAGTTGATTGACTAATTCCAATGCCAAATTATGTGTAGGTGTGCATTTACCTTACATAAAAGAAAATTGCTTAATTGCCCTTAATGTTTTAGTTTAATGTTATCGGCTCTTATAGAACCTGCTACAAAATGCAGTATATTGTACACAATCCTTTTTCTGTTTTAAAGACTCTGACAAAAGAAACCTTTGAGAATGCAAGGACGCTGCATAAAAACACCCTCGACATCCTATTTTCACAGAAGCAGATTTCTCACATTCTCAGCAACTTTAAATGTAAGCCAGCTTCTTACATGTTACAAGAAAGAAGTTTTTAATTGGAAATTAAAGCCTGCTTTTTTTTACACCATAGAAAAGAGCTGTATTTTATGCAAAAATAAAGCCCTGAACTTGAAGAAAATACACTCCACCAGCTCTGCAAGACTATTAAATATTTTCTCCACTAGATGGAGTTGCATATTTAAACCAGAAGCTTCCTCTTCCTTACCTATTTCAGGGATACAATCTTGTGTGTTACATGGTTCTTTTTCTTCAGGTTTAAGCTGTGGATCACACTGAGTACTGGCTGTCATGTCATCTGACAGACATCGTACCTCTCGAACCCGAAATCCTCCTTCACAGGATTTGGAACACTGAAATACAAAAGCTGAAGTTCATGAAGGCCATACGAGATGTGCTAGTACAGAAATAACATAACGGGAACCTTGAAGCCAGACCCAGGTATCACTGCAGCCTTTTATCAACCTCATCACTTCTGGTGGTTTGGGTTGTTTGGCTTTTTACCTAACTATGTAATCCTTAACACACAGGTGCAATTTTGTTAAAGGTTCAAAAACATTTATGATCACAGGGGCAACAACCGGACCAGTAAATGTGGTAGACACTGAGCAACTGGAAGCATGCTATAATATTCCCTTTCTGAAATACTTAGCTTCTTGCTTCTCAAATTAGTCTTGTTCTACTTTAGTTATTTATACATATGTCTCAAATCTACTTTTTCCACAGTGTTCACATTTCTTACTTTAAGAACTTGCTGAACTGAACTTTACCACTTGACTGTACTACCCTCCACTGCCATTTTGCCTCTATTTATGTAGAATCAGGAATAATCTGAATTGCCTTTTTTTCTAGCACTTGATTATTTTTCACTTCTTGCAGCACAACAATTTTACTAAGCATTATGGGTTTCTCTGAATTTCTAAAGAAAATATTTCTGTGCTGCTGAAGCCAGAGACTTTTGTACTTGCTTGTCATGCTATTTTTAAAGCCAATTATTACACATTTCTACCCATACTGAAACAAATCCCCTGTTGATTTCAAGAATTTTGCCTCATTGAGGTGTTTAAGATTTGGCTTACTGTCCAGTTTGACCTAAATGCTCACAAACTCAATTAAACCTGGGTCATTTGTAGTGATTAAAACCTTAATAGGCCCAAACTAGTAAGAATGTTTTCTTTCTGACCTTTTTGGCTAATTATTCAGTTTCCTAACATTGCAAAAACAACTAATCACTGTCATAAAATCAATTAGTGTACCAAACTAACTAAAATACCCTCAATAATATATTCTCAAATTGCTCTTTCATCTTTAAGTACAACCTTTCCCCACTTTAGAAAAGACATAGCTCTGTGGTGGCAGTAACTGAATGCTTGCAGTTTTTTATATAATGACTCGTTACATGCCTGTATAGAATATTGTAATTATCCCACATCTAGCAATAGGAACTACAGTTCAGGTCTGTAGAGATCTTAAGCACTTAAAATAGAACCAAAACAGAATTTAGATGTTAGATACAAAACACTGTACACAAACCCCAGCACTCTGTGTTAGCCAGTCATTTAATCTCCATGATTGAGAGGCCACGCCATTTATCCTAGGTCATATGAAGAGTCTGCTGAAGATACGAAGTGGACCGTTTCAAAACCTAATAGAGAGGATTTGAACCAGCTGTTCTGCTCACAGCTAACTCCATAATCCTTTCTCTTCAGGTCTAACAGTAAGAAATACCACATACACTGGTGGTAACAGTAATGATATCAGAAGAAGAATTGAAAAACATACAAATATGATCTTGTAAAACCTCTGTTAGCATAGGTATTTGTTCCTACAGTGAAGATGGTCACAAAGGCTTAGACCTTTAAGGATTTTTAGACACCATTTCTTATGAAGTAGGCACTTAAACAGTAACTAGGGATCTCTAAATACCTATAAGATTCTGAGTCATAGCATCTCATGTCTTCTGTGCCTGCCAAAGAGAGCAGATATTCTCACTTTTAGAAGGAATCTATCTGCTGCCTTCTATGGATGCAGATGGCTGTGTCACTTGTGGCTAGACACCTGCAGGTTCACATTTGAAAATAGGTTTGCTAATGGATTTGCTAGGGGGAAGTTATTTAATCTGACCTAACAGCTCAGTGAAGAATCCAAACAATTTCCAGCAACATCAGAGAAGATAGTTAAATCTCATGGCTTTATTATGAGCCTAACTTGGATACTGTTTTTAAATAAAAATCTGTATCTCCAATAAGGAAGAAAAACCAGGATTCCCTTCAGCTGATTTATTTTGTTAAAACTTTTTTGCTTTTAATGTTGCCAGTAGTCAAATAATTGAGCATTTAGTAAAAGGGAAAATCAAAATGACTTCTCTCTTTCACGTCATATGGATGAAGTATTTCCAAAGGTTCCTGACTAAGGGAACTCAAACTGAAGACATCTGAGGTGCTTCCACGCTTCAGAGCTGACATTCTGAATTCGATTTAAAGCTCAAAGAAGGGTGTAAGTTAATGCATTATATATGTCACATAAGTAGTTTTCACACCATTTTTCATTCTAAGATGACAATGGACTTCCTGATTTTCATTTAAGAGAAAAATGTTGGGGTTTTTTGGGTAAAAATCCAATAAGCTTTGTCAGGTATAGGAAATGATAGGAAGATAGATGAAACCAAAGGATTTTGTGGCGCTGGCAAACGTAGCAGTTCCACTTCCAGGGGAAACTGAAGATACATGAGGCTTTACAGTAAGTTTTCTCTCGATGTTCTAACTAGTACAGTGAAGAGTTTACAGTAAAATATTACGGTATAAGTGACTTCAAAAACTGAATACAAAGCTCATTCTTTTATTAAATATTCTCTAATTTTAATGAAACTAGAGGTCTGAAAAGAACTTTAGTGTGCTACAGTCTCATTAAAGAGCAAACCAACTTTACAAAACAGGAAGATTCTTGGAAGAAGAGATCAGTGATGAAAAGATTAGTGTCTCCTTCTGCTGAAGATATTTTCTAACTTTCCTAAGCTTGCTTCGCTGGTTGCTAAAGAGTATGCTTTCTTTTTAGTATCCTTCCTGTGCAAGATTAAGGCAATTTCATGATCAACAGTTTATTCAAATGGCATTCCCTTTTAATATACATGGAAAAAGATGTATCAAACAAAATTAGATTTAGAAAAGCATGACAGACTTACCGTGCTCCATTCTGTATGAAACCACTTAGATCCACATGGTTTGAGGTAGCAGGATTGCTGGCTGGGAGGCTTTTCCAAATATGAACATTCATAGGGGTTCAAAACATCGAAATTACCTTCAGTTTTCCTAACACAAACGACTTCTCTCTGTTGAGTTCCACTGCCACATTCTGTAGAGCACTGTATCAGAGAATGAAAAAAAGTGGTGGAAATTGTTATCCTACTTACGCCCTCCAACTTGTGTCAAAGAAGTAATGTGTTTCTCCACATTGTTTGTTTCTGAAATAAAACAACACGCACACATACACTTGCATTTTAAATCAATATTCCAACAGGAATATTTGTAAAGTTTTGTTTATTCCCTGTTCTTGGGCACATACCTAGACACTAACATCCAAAATCCTTTTCCTTATTATATGTTCTTTCCTCAGTAAAATGGACTTAACTATATCTTTCCTTCCATCATTGGCATATGTATGACTTGAAAAGAAATGGAGAGGATAAAATATTCCTTAAGTTCCTGTGGTAGGATTTTAGTCTCTCAGATCCAGAAGAGCAGCCTAGATAAACCTTGGGTTATTATTATTTGTATGTAGTACTAACACAGTAGCCAGCAATGCCAGTTAGGAACCAGGGCAAACATGTGCTGAAGGATATAGTAATGACTTAATTCATCAAGTGACTCCTGACTGCAGGTGTGTCAGGTATTACTTACTTAATTTTTCATTGTTACAGTGGTTAAAACTGTACTTCTGTGGATTTTTATCCCACATGGTACCACAGACTCAAAACATATTTCTCATCATTTTTATGAAGAAGACACAAAACTCTAAGTGTGCTTTGGAGAAACCTAGAAGTGTAGTTTTACCTGTAGCTACAAGAAGAAACTGGTATTTATCTTTTCTAACAGAAAGGAAAGTATAACTTACTTTCTCCATAAACACTGTTACTGCTTCTTGCTGAAGCAGGATTAAATGCACTGCGCTGAGGGTTAGAAGGTTAGAAGGCTGGAGCACAGTTTTGGAGGTTTACAAATCCCCACATTCTGTGTGGTTTTTAGAAAATACCTTGATCTGTCAGGGTGTCCCTTTCATATTTGCAAGTATCTCTGTGTCGCAGTGTTGGTTGCTCTTCTGAAAAGCAAATTTGACTCAGGTGGACTCTTATTGTCCATTTAAAGGTTAAATACATACTACTGTTCCTGGCACTTGCAAAAAGGTTTTTAGAAGATGATTTCAGCAACATACTGCTTTCTATGTTGCATAAAGGACTATGATTTTAAAGGCTTTTTCTAGTCTAAACCAATAAAATGTTATTAAAAGTGGGGATTTTGTTTATATTTTGGTTGGAACTTATGACCCCTTTACTAGATACTCACAAAAACCTTGAGCTGAGTGAAGAAGCTAGAGATGAACACACCAAATAAATTCTAAATAGGAAATAATGTAACTGCACTTTCTTTAACACTGAAAATCTCTTTCAGTGTTTTAATGTTACTGCTCTCTTTTAATGGTTCCTCCAAAAGACAATACCATAACATTCAGCCTTAGCGCTAGAGGAGCAGAATATGGAAGGTCATCCACCAATGCTCTCTCCTGCTCTGGTCTACTTGACTGTCTGCTTTCATTTTGGTAGTTAGAAGTCAGGATTTGGCTGGTAGAATAGATGTTTTCAGATACTTGTTTCAGACAACATACAGCAAAGGCTTTGTACCCTTGCTACGCATCAAACAATTCAATCTCATGCAAAGAAGGGTATAAGTTAGCTTAAAAAAAGAGGATATTGTAAAGGACAGTTTGTTCAGTTCTGGGCCTCTCACTACAAGAAAGACATGGAGGTGCTGGAGCAAGTCCAGAAAAGGGCAACAAAGCTGGTGAACAGTCTGGAGAGTAAGTCTTGCAAGGAACGCCTGAGGGAACTGGAGGGGTTTAGTCTGGAGAAGAGAAGGCTCAGGGGGACCTTATTGCTCTCTACAACTACCTGAAAGGAGGTTGTAGTGAGGGTTGGTCTCTTCTCTCAATTAACAAGTGACAGGACAAGAGGTAATGGCCTCAAGCTGTGGATATAAGGAAAAATCTCTTCACAGAGAGGGTGCTCAGGCATTGGAACAGGCTGCCCAGGGCAGTGGTGGAGTCACTGTCCCTGAAAGTGTTCCCAAACCATGCAGATGTGGCCCTCAATGACATGGCTTAGTGGTGGTCTTGGTAGTCCTGAGGTTATGGTTGGACTTGATGATCTTAAAGGTCTTTTCCAACCTAGTTGATTCTATGATTCTATGACAGAAACTTTCCTATTCAGACCAGAATGTGAGAGTTAATATGACCTTATTGAATGCTTCTCTCTGTGGTAGCAAGAAAGCATACAAAGTTCCTATTCACCTACACTGAATGTAAGTAAAATGGCCTTTTACTGCAAGTAAAAAGGCCCAGATTTTATCTGTTACTAGAACTGCAGCTAGGTATGTTTTAAATCTGAATTTTTTCTTACTCTTATACAAGTAATTATCACTTACACTTGAAAGCATTAGCATTGTAGTATCCCTGTAATCTCTATCTCAGCTGTATCAGTTTAATTTCCAACTCCTTATTACCTGGAAGGATCTTGGAGCATGAAATGCAGTGAGTTAACAGCACAGCCGAGAGACTTTTCCCTGACAGCTTCTGAAATGCCTTTGATCCTGACAGCAGAAATATTTATTTAGAATGAGAAGAACTATTAGGTGTGGACTGAGGGAAGAATTTACCTTGAGAAAAGAGCATCAGGATACTGGCTACTAACCAAATTTTGTTCTCTTTACCTATTATAATGAATTTCAGTACAACAATACTAAAGGTAACTTTTGGTTTGGCCACTGCTTTTTGTCTTATTTAAATTTTGGAAGTTCTCTAGATTGATCAATTAGATAGAAAGATAGATAGATAGCCCTGCAGGTATGCATAATCACAAAGGCTCTAGTTTGAAAGGTGCAAATCTGTTGCCCTAGTGTTCACCTGAATTTTAACAGAAAGCAGCTTTCTGTTATCTTTCGTTTTATAAATACTCTGAGTCAGTAGATGAGACATAAAAATAAAGATACAGAGGAAGAGAAGAACAAAATCTTAGTTTCATCAAAGTAAAAAAACAGGAAGTGCTGAAAAGTATTGAATATTAACTCAGCAAAATACAGAAAAGAAATAAATGAGTATTCCACAGAGGTGTAGAAATACACATCTTCACGGCACAGAAACATTTTTTAACTTAAGATACTATCAGAAAACAAAGACGTATGTTAAAGCTCACCTGTGTCCAGCCCCCAGCAAACCACTCCACTTTACCAGCACAGGGTCCATTATTACAGGGAGTTGTTTCAGAAGGTCTGTTATTGCCACAGCCTTCCAGAGGCAAGCTGCTGACATGGTTCGTCATGCAAACCACTGAACGTGTACGGACCCCATCACCACATTCTGCAGAACACTGGGGAGCAAAAGACAGAACGCGTTCACTAGTCCATCCTCCACGGGGCACAATGAAATGAGAAGCAACAATCACAAAAAGTAAATTAATTTATGCAAGGTCACTTATTTTTACTTTTATGTGAGCTGTAGCAAATATCTTACAGTTTCATGCTTCTGAATACACCACAAGTAGTACCTGTCCTTTATAGTCACAACTGAAAGAAACTAAAGGATTAGAAAAGAAATAATTTTTTTAGAGCTTTTTATTAGATTTCTTACTTTTTCTTCCTTCTTCCTGTCTGTAAATTCTTTCAGTTTTCATTTTACTTGTCTTTTTGCACACCGATTAATAGATATGAGAAGGAATAATGCCAATAAGCAACTTTCAAACAGCAGTCATATTTTGGTTCTATGAGTTTCTCCTCTGATGTTCAAGCTGCCATCCAGGTGAACTCTTAGAATGGTTAAAAGGATGAGGAAGAAGACTGGGTACTATGTCACTGGATAGTGCATCCTGGATCTTTTCCATATAATGAGTTTACAGAGTATGAGAGCTCAAAAAAGTAGAAAAATAGGACATTTTTTTACAGGTGTTTTCAAAAGACTCTGGTAAATCCTCAGCAAAGAACCGTAACTACCACAAATTATTGCACAACCAGTTTCAAATGTAAGTTGAATAAATATCAGTAAATATCAGTTTTAGCAGAAGAGGTGGCTGTAGAAGTTTATGTGAATTCAATGTTGCTTTCTAATGATATGATTTCCCAGTAACTAACATTCAGATTTTAAAATGCATTTGGCATTTCATGTCCAGACCATTAAAATAAAGAAAAACCCATGTGCAGCTTACTGAAAGATATGTATATAATTACATTGGATCAATTAGAATTATATTACACATGTAAAGAAAACCACTGATAAGTATCAAGTATATAGGAGAAAAAGATGCATTTGATTGACATTTCAGATTTTATTTCTAATATACATTGTAATTAGTTAAGAGAAACTGTGTATTACTTCTGCAATGGAAAGTATATTCCTTTTGAATTAATGTAACTTGGTAATTGAACATTTTTAAAGAGTTTATTGAATAAAAGTAAGAATAATTCCAAGAATTGGTATAACAAATCACAGCTTGATTTGGCTCCCATTGGTAACAACGTAAGGGTTCACATCCAGTAGTTCAACTACAGAAGAGCAGATGCCATGATAGCACCACTATTAGTAATGGGATGAACCAACGCAGTCGTTCATCTTCCTCCAAAGAGAGAGAGACCAGTGACTGAATGTACAATTCCTTGCAAACTACCCTTTACTCACTGGCACTGAAAAACACTGGTTGTGTGAAACCTGTTGTCATGTTATAGTTACTCCACAGATACAGTACTGAAAAACATTTTTTCCTATCAGCAAGTTGGTTGCTTTCCCAAGAAGTTCAAATGGAAGGGAAAAGCTTTACTGAAACAGGATCTCTAGAAGACTAAGAAAGTGACTCAACTTTTAATAAGTTATTTTTTTAACAAACAAAATACCCATTTACCTTCTCAGAAAACCAATTTGATAGCTAAGGGGATCTTTTCCAAGAGAACTGGCAAAATCTTGAAAATACAAGAATGATGTAAATTGTGCTAGTAGAGAACATTTTCCTCAACACGTAAACTAAACCTAAACTAAATCCATTTCAAACAGCCCACTCCTAGATAAAGTGACTGTTTAACTGAGCCCCATACAATGGCTACCTTTCAAACCCACTGTACAGAAATAAATGTTGTGGCTGTTCGTATTTTATCTTTGGCAAGTATGTTCAGTTACATTATGCACAGACAACTATGCATGTACTCTGCAAACACTTTTTGTATTTCTAAGTAATTTTCAATTGACAATCTAATTTGCTTTTCTACTTTGCAAACCAGAGCTAGGAACAAGTTTAGTCTATAAAGTCATCCAGAAAATCTCCACAGTCTTATGTTTTAAATGATCATGCATGAATTAGGCTTCCATATCAAATAACAAAGGAAATACCAAATGGGAAGGTATAGGGTTGTCCCACCCTCTGCTGCAAGATTTTACTACAGATTAAGTACCCTCAAAGGATTTACAAAGCAAACTTAAACCTGAATGTTTCTGCATTAAGTATTTGGGTTTTCATGGGTTTTTCTTCCTTTCAGTAAAAATGTCCCATGTGAAAGCCATGATTTCCAAAGCCCAAGGCAGGGAGTAGGGAGCGTTTGGATAATGAATCCTCTCTGTTTGGTTTTCACAACTGACACACCCCTACTTTCAATTTTGTGCCATTGATTTGTTGCATTAATACAGAGTAAATGCTATAACCTCACATCGTACCACATGAGGAACTTTCACAAGCTGCAACTTCTCTATTCTGGTCCTATTATTAAAGATATTCTGTTTCACTGTCTTGTTTTAACTGGCAGAAATTCTTCAGAAACCTTAGTCTGTGGAACACCCTCCCTAGTTTTAAGGAGTCTGCCACTTCTCCTCTTCCTGAGATCCTTCCCTTGTAAGTTCAGTTTCAGAAGATTTCCATTCCCATTAAAAACTGAAAATCATTGAAAAATCCCAAACCCAACAACTAACCCAGTGCTCTGATAGTTGTCAGGAAACAACTTTAACAGCAGTCCAGAAAATAAGGCTAGTTCCTGCAAATGTGGAAAACTTCAAGTGGAAACCTGAATTTTTGTCACAGCCACAGGCCATGGTAGAGCAAATAAACCCCTTTAACCGTGCCAGTTCCCTTTCACTAATGTGCCAGCCCTACTCATTACCTTCAATTGGGGCAACAGACCACAAGAAAGAGGCAACAGGAAATCTAGCAGAACTCGAGACCTTTCAGGTCCCAGCATCATTGCTAGCCTTAATCAGATTTTCAAATAAAACCCAATTGAGTTGAGTTCAAGTAAAACATCCCCATTTGTGCAGGATTTCCGTCTGCCACACTTTAACCTTCATCATCTTAATTATTCCCCACAAGACAATAAAGTTTCCTATGAATCATCTTCCCGCTGTTAACGTACCACAAAAAATAAAAACACAGACTTATGTTTGAAATACATTTATGAAACTCCTCAGAATTGTTTGATCTGCCCTGAGAAAATCCCTTTCAGAAGGGATTTTAGAAGAATTATGTAACCTGTTTTGCCAATAATAAACTAAGAACTGTATTTCAGAAACTCACTTCTGCTGCAGTTCCAAGACTGGGGCAGATTTGCAAAGGACATAAAACGACTGACAGCAGCGGGAGAGGGGAAGCAGGGCTAGTCACAAATATCCTTGTGTATTATTTATTGTCAAAGCACTTTCTGATACCTGGATTTCAATTATTTGCCTCTAGAGTGCACCTAAGCATACAACGGGTGCTGGATCAGAAGTCAAACTGTCCTGGTATTTTGTCTAGCAGATCCATGGTATCCCTCCAAGGTGACGAAGTTTTGAAATATGGTCTTACAATTTTTGGACACTTCAGCTGGATCATGACTGCTTCTACATATGCACTGTTCCTTTCTTTGTATGTAGTTGGTAACACTGTGTCATGGTTTAAGCCCAGCCAGTAACTCAGAACCACACAGCTGCTTGCTCATTCCCCCTCTTCTTCCTCCCCACTCCTGGAGGGATGGGGAGGAGAATCAAAAGAATGTAACTCCCACAGGTTGAGATAACAGCACTCCAGTAACTAAGGTATAATACAAACCACTACTGCTACCAATAATAATGATAAGAGGAATAACAAGGGAAAAGGACACAACCGCTCACCCCCCGCCGACCGATACCCAGCCCGACCCGAGCAGCGATCTGGCCTTCCGGGTAACTCCCCCCAGTTTATATACTGGGTATGACGTGCTGTGGTATGGAATAGCCCTTTGGCCAGTTTGGGTCAGGTGTCCTGCCTCTGCTTCCTCCTGGCTTCCCCTCCTCTCTGGCAAAGCATGAGACTGAGAAAGTCCTTGCTCAGAGTAAACATTGAATCTCTTGTGCGGGTCCCTTGACCTTACTCCGTTTTATGGCAAAACCAGCCGTCAGCAGGATTTGGATGATCTTCCTCCCTTTTCTCAAAAACTTCTCCTGCTGTATCGCCCCACACTATAATCATAGAATCACAGAATAGTTATGGTTGG